TAATACTGCTCTTTAATTTTTAATAATTCAGCAAAAACTATCCATTTGCGAAATACAATCCTGGCTTTAGCGCCCGTATACGACGGCCTTAACGGTCAAAACTGTAGTAGCGGCACACAGGGGCGGACTGGTAGTCGAAAAGTTAGGAGGGGACCTAAATGTAAGGGCCCCTCCTGTCGTTCGGGGGCCCCTCTAAGATGGTCCGGGGGCCCTTCTCCGGTAAATTTTGAAAATTTCACACTTTTTAAACACGTAGGCATTATTGGAGTTGGATTCTATAGTATTTGAACTTCAAAGTAACCCATTTTCAGGATTCATCGGGGGTCCCTTCATCACAAATGCTTTTGGCGACCTTCCATGTCTCTTAGAGACAAATTTTCAAGGAATTCGGGGCCTTTTAGAGATTGAAAAGGATAAGAAAATCACAATATTACGGGAAAAGAACGATGACACGAAAAAAATGCGCCGCGGGGGCCCCTTCGGGACCATCCGCGGCAAATTGTTAGGGGGCGATCGCCTCCCCGCCCCCATGGCCAGTCCTCCCCTGCCCCTCATAACTCGAAAATGGTTCCTATACTCATCTTGAAATTTTTTCCTGAGTTTTCTGTTATTATAGCTTCCACTTAAACCTTGGTTCGATGGTCGAATCGAATACCAAAAAAGGGGCGAAAGTCAGCCTTTATTTTGTGAGGCTCTTGAAAACAAGGTAGGTATCTTAATTTTTCTTTTCCCTCGGCAGAATAATCTACGAATGTCGAAGAAAAACAGTCAAATCAGGCATTTTGTTAAATGCCTAGGCAAATGGTTAAATATTCTTACTTAGACTGAAATTCTGATTATTTTGCTAACTATAGACAAAATAATTCTCTGATCTAGTGGAAATGAATTCCTTTTAAAAACTTGTTCCATACGATTTTAAATTCTTTTTTCTAGTCCTTGAATGCAAATTTATCTTAAAACATGCAGCATTTCGTAAAATAAAAAGTTTTCACAATTTGGGCGATTGAAGAATCACGAGGAGCATTTTTGAATGGGAAATAAAATGGCAGTTTGTACGTTGCCGGATTTTTGTCTCAAAATATTGAAAATTAGAGAGGTATTTGTGAAAGCATGAAAAACCTCGTAAACATTGAAAATTGAGTATCTGCCCACGCATTTGGTAAAATGCCTGATACGACTATTAGCATCCGACATATATATTTCAACCTTTGAAGTTAGCCTTCTTCCTCATTTAAAAGAGAACTGAAAAAAAAAAATGATTTAAAATAAAACCGGAAACAAATTTTGCAGGAATATTTCCACAATCCTGCAGGCTCGTGATTTACACTGGTCGGATACTGCGTACACCGCGGGCGGTTCACTGGAAAAAAAAACAAAAAAAACACAAAAAAAAACAACAACAACAACAACACATTGGATCTAGAGTCCAGACTCTTGAAAACATTGACAAGAAAAAATACTCGTAATTAAATCAGATTTAAGCTTAAATCAAAGGAAATCCGCTCAAATTAAGAGGCTTGGTTCTTGATTTAAGCTTAAATCTGATTGAATCAAGAGTATTTTTTCTTGTCGATGTTTTTCAGAGTCTGGACCCTAGATCCAATGTGTTTTTTTCCTGTGCAGGTCTAAAGCGGCAGATACACTTGTGCGTGGAACGCGTGTGTCGAAAAGGAAATACCAATAAGCAACAAGGATTTCGATCGTTCGACGTCGAGCGACCTAACCTTAGATTGACTTCAAACCGTGGTAATAAAGTTTTTAAAGAATCATTTCAAACTTTCTGCTCATGAGAGAAATGTCACTGTGACAGTCTCAGCAATGAAAAAATATGGCAACCTCAATCGTAACTAATGTACAATAGAAACGTTAATTTTTTTTTTTTTTTAAAAAAAAGAAAAGAAGAAGAAAAAAGGCAGGAGTTGATATGAATAGTTTTCATTGCGCGAATCGTGTTCTGCGTAAAATTCTGGCGAATAAGTAAATTCGTATACCTTGTATAATGGTCCATTCAATCTAAAAAAGCGAACATGGAGAACTTTTCTAACTTTTCTCGGAAGAAGTATTTTATCGGGCGAAACGAGGCAACGTTGAGGGCAGCGTCGAAACACAACATGGGCCTTTAAACCCCCTTTATTCGATGACGCGATTAATTAATGCGAGTTCGAATAATCGCGTCAAACACACAGCGGCCGGCGTTAAACGCAGATCAGCGCCTGCAAGACTGGAGGAATACTTCACGCATTGCGCCAAACAATGCGGTCGCCGCGGCGCGCATATTAGCGCCTACAAGACGACATGAATACTTCTCGCATTGCGCCAAACGCAGTGCAGTCGGTCAATTGGCCGACTGCAAATGCATATTAGCGCTTACAAGATTGAAAAGGATATTTCACGCATTACGCGCACAGCATGGCGCGCGTTTAATCGTTGTAATTTCTCGGTGTTAAACACACCACCCGCGGTGCAGTGGACACAATATCCAACCAGTGTGCAACACGAGCCTGCAATCCTCGTAGAATCGTGGAGATTTTCTTGCCTTCCGTTAACTTTTCCATCATTAAATCTACCTCATCTACTGGTCTTTCAGACGAATCAAATATCATAATTTGCCAGTTTTAGTTGCAAATCAGATCAAATGGACCACTAGACAAGGTACGAATTTAAGGATTCTGATACGTTTCTAAACCAAAATTTCACGTAAAACACTATTTTTGCAGTTGCATCGAAAATTAGGTACCGAAATCATTTCCTATCTAAGATATTCGCGTTTTTATTTTACATTGGTTAAGGGAAATTTGAATTGCCCCATCATACGAAATACTCTACGTACATGAGTCCAATCGCGTACTACAACGATTTCGCCAGCGGGTCGATTATTGAAACTTTACGGTAGCCCGATAAGACATCGAATTGCGATATACTGCATGGTTAAGATAGGGCTATGTCTTGTTGTGTCAGGTCAACATAGTTTCAATAATCGGGTCGCAGGCTTCTCAATCCGGCAATGTTCATTTCCCACCCTAGGTTGTTCAAACTATAAACAACTTGCTACAGCTGAGCCGAAACGTCAAGATTTAGGCTGCCAGATTTTCATATCGCAGAGAGTGTCATGGTAATTTTTAGTGTGTGATTTGACTCACGTAGAGCATTGAGTCTTCATGAGCGGGAGGTTTGAATTCACGCGTAAAGAAACATTAAATATATTGGTTAGGAGTTAATTTCAGTAATTTTCGTTGCGCAAATCGTGTTTTGCGTAAAATTTTGGTTGAGAAACATGTATCCGAATGCTTAACTTCGTACATTATTTAAAGGTCCGTTGTGTAAAATTTTCAAAACAACGAGAGCGTGCGAGTTTTCCAGGGATTCATATTAATCGAAGGAAATCGGGCAACGCTCGAGTGTTCAATGGAGATGTTGCATGTGTGAGGAATTTGCGATTTGACCGTTGGTTCTCATGTAAAAGCTCGCGAGAAACACGATGGTGCCACTGGTTTTCTCTGAAATCCACTCCCAAGCTCAAAAAAGCTCTCAAGTTGAGGCCAAAATGGAGGGGATATCCCACGCTATCCGGAGAGTCCACCTCTTCATCAAGAGAAACTCTCCATGCAAAGATAGGGAGCAAATACACTGACAGAGCTGCCACCTTATTTGGGGACTCTGAAACTGAAAACACGGCAACCCTGCTATGTATTTGCTCCCTATCTTCGCATGGGGAGTTTGTCTTGATATAGAGGTGGACTCTCGGATAGTGTGGGATATCCCCTCCATTTTGGCCTTAACTTGAGACCTTTTTTTGAGCTTGGGAGTTGATTTCAGAGAAAACCAGTGGCACCATCGTGTTTCTCGCGAACTTTTGCATAAGAATCAACAGTCAAATCGCAAATTCCTCACACATGCAACATCTCCATTGTTCGTACATGACGCTGTTTTTAGTAACGCTTCAGAATGATTATCCGAGGATGATACAATGATGTCGGTAATAACGTCTGGATACAACTATTCGCGCTCTACGGACGTCCGTGTCGCATGCTAAAAATTGAAGGCGCTCTGGTCTTTCTGGCCCATGAAGTAGTGCTTGCAGCGTCAGGCGTGCTGTTACGACTGAGCACGGTGGTGGGTTTGTAAAAACGGTGCGTAAATAGTTTTTCCGGCTATGAGTTTTTGACATGGGAAAAAAATTAAGACTATTGAATTCAAGACTAACTACCCCTAACTTAAAAAGATATCCTACCTCCCTCTCCCTGGGGAAAAAAAAAATCTGACTTGCTAAGTTATTGTTGAACTCGATTCATTTTTGAGGTGAAAATAATTGCTCTTAATGTCAATGGTGGTAAGGCTCATTAAGGTCAATTGCTCAATGGTGATGTCTTGATTCTGATAACTGAAATACTGCGAATGAGAGGCAGTTTTGAATTTTTCCAAGTTAACTTTTCACTTCAGTTTAATTCCTTATTATTTTCGGGGTGTAAATCGGTCTTGCGGTGCTAAAATTGCTCAATGGTGATGTCTTGATTCGGACGACTAAAATATAGCGAATGATAGGCAATGTTTAATTTCGCCAAGTTAACATTTTACTTCAATTGTATTCTTTCGTTTAAAAGAATAAAGATGGGCCTAACAAGGATCTTCTCGGATATTAAAAAGTGCTGATTTCGTATAGGGCTGAGTCATCCTATCAATAGGAGAGACATTAGAAATTTTAGGACCCCCCGAGCAGCAAATCAAGACGAAATACGAACATTATGGGCGGATCCAGCAAATTGGCAACATCGTTTCCTCTCCATTTAAATCCATGGAAATGTATCGATTCTTGGAGGGGCTTGGTGATCCGACCAGAATCGATTATTTAACATAGGTTTAAATGGGGGGGGATCCGGCGTTGTCAAGTTGCTGGATCCGCTTCCGAACGCGAATTACACGGGATCCAGTTGGAGTATTTTATAATCAGTTGTCCTAATGTAGCGTGTCGAATTCGATCAATCAAAAGAAAAAAAAATGTGTAAAAATCAAAAGTTTATTACAAGTTTTAACTTTAAAAAATTAAACTTACTTACACCCGTAAAACAAGAGTTCGCAAAGAAAATGATTGAACGACGGATAAAAAAGACAAGATTTTTGTATAATAGTAGCAATTATTCAGTTGACAAAGATACATAAAAGCCTCAAACGTTAATCCGAGAAAAAATAACCTAAACACAGAAACACAGCTTTATCTTTTCAAATCACCGAGGTCCTCGATGGAGTCCTCATCAATCTGGGGCCATTTTTCAGGGATCACATCAAATAAATCGTCCTTGACGTCACCTTGGATGACGATTTCGTTGTCACCGGTGACGGAGGAGCCGCAGGCGAATTTCGTTCCGAAAAATTTCGCTGCAGTTTTCAAATCTATTTCGTAATTTGCTAGACCTGGAAAAAAAATTCAAAATATTAAATCAATCGGTGAAATAGCACTGGAAAAAAAAACACATTGGATCTAGAGTCCAGACATAGGCGGTTCTACGGGGGTGCCAGTGGGTGCCGGGCACCCCCAAGCAAAAATTTCAGTACGGTTATCGGAACCGTGAAATTACTGCTTTTAAAGATTCTGTATTCACTCACACTGAGAAAAAATCCCAGCAATTAATTGAACACGTTTTAAACATAATTAATTTTGATAGCCGCGTTTTACAAATATTCTTCTGTTTCTTATGGTAAGAGTGTAGTTTTGATGGAAAGTTTTGCTAAAAATTTTCTACATTGAATTTATAGGTATATTAAGAGGAAAGGAAGGAGAGAAAAAGAGAAAGGAGGGTAGGAAAGGGATAAAACTTGAGGGCCGAAACTTAGGCCTCCCTTGAGCGACCGTCTCCTTCGGAGCCGGTCTCCGACATTTTCCACTTCTGGGCACTCCCGAGCATGAAGGTGTAGAACCGCCTATGAGTCCAGACTCTTAAAAACATCGACGAGAAAAAATACTCTTGATTCAATCGGATTTTTGCTTCAATCAAGAACCAAGCTTCTTAATTTGAGCGGATTTCCTTTTGATTTAAGCTTAGATCTGATTGAATCAAGAGTACTTTTTCTTGTCAATGTTTTCAAGAGTCTGGACTCTGGATCCAATGTGTTTTGCTTTCCTGTGAGAGACATGCCACATTACCCAAGAAGCAGTGATCGCGATAAATAGCGATTTCGTCGGTTAGTTATCGCGATTTTATCGGTGGCAATTTATGGAGATATAGCATTAAAAATTGCGATATATGCCGATTAAATCGCTACAAATCGCAATTTTTAGTTCGAGAGAATACCGATCAATTTTCGTCGATAAAATTGAGATTAAATCGCCATTTGGACCGCGTTCAGCAGAAAAGAACCAAGCCACATCAGCTATTATTTAATTCAACCGGGCAATTCAATTTTTTATAAGAGAGCGTTTTCCCCAATTCCTTTGAAAATTTTAAGGAATTTGTTTCGTACTATGCAGAAAATCTATTGAAAATTTCACACGAATCCGCAAAACCGCTTTATTGTAAAAAATTAAATTGCCCAGTTAAATTTGGCAATAGCTGATGTGGCTTGAATCCTTTCTGCTTAACGCGGTCCATTTATCGCGATTTTTATTTCGAAAATATCGCGATAAATTGTCGAGCGATAAAAGCGCGATTTCATCGCGATACACTGAAAAAGAAAAGCAGCTTGGATCAAGCATGATAATTCTTGAATTTGCCGCCAAGAATTTTCTTTATCTCGCTCTAAGCTGACTTTTTCTTCATTCAAGAAAAATAATGCTTGGGTTAAGCAAAAAAATAGCTTATATTAACCAGCAAAATTCTTGATTTAAGAAGAAATACTTCTTGGGGTATATACTATCTTCTTTTGGGGGATATACTTCTAATTTTCGAAAAATACGCTCCTGAGTTGAACAGCGGCGCGGCCAGAAAGAGCCGTATGCAAAAACGACATTTTTCGCCCCCCCACTAAAACTTATTCAAACTTCGTCTATCAGTTACGAATACTGGAGCGCTTCTTTCCCCAAATTTTCAGACCCCCAAAAAATTTTGGGGGGGGGGCGCTAGGGGGGGCGGAAGTCAAAACCTGTGACCCTCGATATCTTTCGAACGAAACAAGATATTGAGGCCCGGTTTGGACGAAAAATCGTCTAAAATTGCATATTTTAAGATTCTAAAAGTCAAAATCCCAAAATTAAATTTTTAACTTAACTTATGTGTTTTTTTTCAGTTTTTGAGGAAAAACAATTTCTTTTAATCAGATTAAACTGAAATTTCACATTTTTTGATTTAAACCAAAACCAGTTATTTAAATTGTTCGTTTTTTTCCGCATCCAACGAGTGGTCGTATAAGCTGGGGAACCGAACGGTTCCGGAGTTATGATCGATTGAAGTTTCCGCTCAACGCGCGCCGACCGATTTTCGCGCGCAAAAAAGTCGGATTTGACTGTTATTAAATCAGATTAAATTTTCAAACTGAGCAAAATGCATTATAAGGGACTCTTGAGGGTCGCTGAGTCCAGAAATTACAGATACTTCCAAAAAATTCACGTTTTTAAAATTACAGCTCCGTAGCGCTATTTTAGAGGCCCACTGAGCGCCGACCGGCCGCTCAGTGGTCCTGTACGGAAATTTAATTTTGGGATTTTGACCTTTAGAATCTTAAAATATGCAATTTTAGACGATTTTTCGTCCAAACCGGGCCTCAATATCTTGTTTCGTTCGAAAGATATCGAGGGTCACAGGTTTTGACTTCCGCCCCCCCTAGCGCCCCCCCCAAAATTTTTTGGGGGTCTGAAAATTTGGGGAAAGAAGCAGTCCAGTATTCGTAACTGATAGACGAAGTTTGAATAAGTTTTAGTGGGGGGGGCGAAAAATGTCGTTTTTGCATACGCCTCTTTTCAGGAGCAGGCAAGTGCTGCCGGGCACAATAAAAACGCTGTCATTCTAATCAGGACTTTGCGCTGTTATTCCGCACATACTGTTCTATTACGAGAAAACCTGATCACGAGGTAAAATGCTCCATTTCGTAACAATGAATTCTCAATGGTATGCCACAGCTACTTTAGAATTAAGAAGGATAAGAGGTATTGGTTTCTCGGTAGGAAAACAATTTGTTAGTAAACAGCTGAAAAAATCTAGAATGGAGTTACGGCGATTTTACTAAGGATGTCAGAGTAAGAAGGGGATCTACTATCAAAAATGTTCCATGGGGGGAGGGGGGTGTCTAAAAGTTTAACAATGCAAAAAAACACGGAAAATTACATTTTTGGCGGGAAATTTTCAAAACATGAGGGGCAGATTCCAGACCCCTAGTTACGCCCCTGAATTTAATAAATTGACCGACTAAAAGATGAACAACTTTAGAATGGTCCTCGGCCGTTTGGAGAGCAATTTGAAAGACGGATCGATCAACTGATAATTTCTGGTTTTTAGAACATTTCTTAAGGATTTTCGAGCGTCACATCCGGCTGTAGAACGTTAAGTGCAATAAATTTGACCCCGCGAGAAACGCTTTGAAAGAACTTCCAAATTACAGCCCAAACGAAAATCGAGGATGGTTTTGCCTTTTGCTTTGCGACATTTTCTCAAGACGTACATTTAAAGCAAAATCAAAATATTTCCTGATAAAATTGCGTGTAAAAATACCTGACGTACTATACGACTCGATGTGATGCTCAAAAATACATAGGAAATCCAGAAATAATGAATTGATCGATCACTATCGAATCCTGTAGTAAAAACGCCGCATTAGCATTCGAATGTTGCAATTTATACTTTGATGAAAGTTATGAATATTTTTCCTTAAAATGTTCGGACTATTTAGATCAAGTTACGAGCGAAATTTTCTGAAAAAGCGGAGGAGAAATATTCACCAATTTTCCTGTAAATTGGTGTTATGTCGAAGGAAATTTAGCAACGTCTGATGGCTTTTACGGAGTTTTTACTTAGCATAACAGAATCGTCCTCTGTCGGGTTGAAGAACCACTAAAAAAAAAGAAAAAAAGAAAAAAAGAAAAATAGAAAAAAAGAAAAAAAGAAAAAAAGAAAACAAGAAAAAAAGAAAAAAAGTAGTAGTAGTAAAATAATTTTATTTTAAAGCGGTGCTTTAGCATCTAAGACCATTTACACCTCTAAAGAGAAAAAAAGAAAAAAAGAAAAAGAAAAACGAAAATATGTACCTGTAACGACTGTAACGGACTTCTTTTTGCCTCTTGGCGCTCGGGAAACGGTGACAGTTTTGGGACCTTCTTCTTTCTTTTTGGCTTTTACCATTCCCTTCCCGCCACGTTTTTGCCGTTTCTTCTCTTCAGTCTCGTCTCCACCGCCATCGGTCAATTTGACTAATTTATCGAATTCGTCTGGTAAGTTCTTCTCCAGCCATTGTTTGCATTTCTCGTACTCAGGGTGGTATTCACAGTACTCTACGGGCAGAGAGCAGTTTCCGCAGTAGAGGACTTTGATGGGATACGATACATCATCCTGCGGACCCGACGTCAAAACTGGTTTGTCATTACTCATCACCTGCAAAAGACAAATTTAACAATCCAAATAGACCGTATTCGATAACGGTTCGATGTATCGTTTGGTTCAAAACAATAGAACATAACCTCAAACCAAACTCTAAGAACTTTAATTGGAAAAGCTGAAAATGAGAAATTTCCTGACAATTTCACTTTGCATTGGCATTTGGTATTCAAAAGAATAAAAAATCTGTTTCAAAAGATCCGTTCTCTCAGATTTCTGAATTTACTTTTGAGGCTATGTTTATGTTTTGAACCAATCGATATCGATACAATCTCACCCGTTTGATGTATCGAATACGATCTATGAATCAGGAGCGATTCCCAATAAAATATTTAAAGAGTTGCCATAGAATTAAGCGAATGAAATTCCCTGACATTTCCGTAATTTCTTCGTCACGTTTTGGTAAAATTCCCTGACAATTATAGAGGATATGCCAAATCGACGGCGCAAGTCCGCAAACATATATCTCGTTTGCGGTGTCTGAAATTCTCCGCCTCTACGTTAATTTTTAAAGGAGAACAATGAGACATCATTCCTTGAAGTTTTTGCACAATATTCTTCGCAAAGAGAAAAAATATCACGGAAGTTTTGAAGAATTACTCATCTCTTCCATGAGAAACAATCCAAATTTACGCCTTTAAATTTTGAACCAAATCTTCTGCTATCGAATACGAAAAATCATGGAGAATTAAGTTTTATGTTGACCAGTTTCTCGGAAGAAAAATAAAATTTCTGAGGAAGTCTGCAACGTCGCAAATGGAGAAACGTCGTCTCTCATTTTGCCCAAAAATATGTATGTATAAAATTGAAGGCATTATGACTGGCCTCTCTCGACTTAAATTCCTCTGTAACGATAAACAATGGGACGCGTTTGCTACGGCGCCTTGATACAACTATACAACCTCGACGGATGTCCGTATTGCGTTCAAAACATTGAAGGCGTTTTACTTTCCTAAGCATAATACCTGTAGTTGATTCGATCGACAAACGCATTGGTCTTGGTCGGCGGTGACGGGGACTTGATGCAACTATTTAAGCTTGTTGGATGTCCGTATCGGTCCGACTGAAGTGCGAAACCACGTATCTCCATTGCGGTGTTTCAAAATTTCCGTTCTTAATAATTGCCGTTGAGTAGTTTTCCGTTTAAAAAATAAAGTATGACAGGAAGTCTGTGACGTCGCAAACCGAGTTGTGTGATTGCCGACTGACACCGTCGATATGCAAAATGCTTAATAAGACAAAATTTTAAAAAAGTTTTCAACCAAATTCGGTGTTCGAAACGTCAAAATCACTCTACTTAGAAAGGGAACAAGGGTGACTGGACAATTTTTCCCTGACATATTTGTCATTTTCCCGGACTTTTCTTGGTTTCTCGGTTTTCCCTGACTGTGGCAACCCTGAATATAATATATCTCTGACATCAACACATTGGACCACTAAGACGTGATTCAAAATTTGGGACTTCTGTGTTGCTTGAATCGCATAACCAATGAAATGAAGGAAACTTGAACTCCAGCCAGATTTTCCGTCAATTTCGTGGACTTCTGCTCAGCTATTACATTAGCCCAAGAAAATAAGTTTCGTAATGATGTTTGATAGAAGAGCGAGGGGAAGAAAACTAATACTGAATGCTTGATGAAATTAGAAAATGGGATGAGAATGGAATGTCACTCTCAGCCAAATGAATTTTGAAGCTGAGCGTTTAGCGACTGTCTCATTTACCTACTTTCGCATCGCCTTCCCTCTCTAGTTCTTTCACTGATCCTTCATTTCGAGTCCCTTATTCTCCTCCCTTTCTCTTCACTTCCACGTCGTTTATCTCTATTGTAGCTAGCTGAATCTATGTAGATAGAAAAGCAGAACTTTCCAGTGGCGTGGCGTGCTTTGCGATAAATTGATTGATACGACACTCAAACCTGTGAAAAAAGATCGATTATCAGGGTGTTCGCAGCGAACACCTTCGTAATCGATTCTTTACCACAGCTTCAAATGGCGAGATATCGATAATCGATTATTCACGCCACGCCAGTGAAACTTTCATGAAAATACGGAGCGGTCCCTAATCTCCCTTCATTTTACCGTATTATGCAATTTGATCCACACAAGATTTGAAACTGTTGTACCAATTTTTTTTCCTTAGAAGCGCGCGGGGGTGGAAGTATAAACGTTTGAACAGAGAAAGTTGGTGACGTAGCCAGTTAAAAAAGCCCAACCCCCAGGGGCTACCCCCCTGGCTTCCAAGAAGTTCAGCTCCCCAGGTGGTTTCATTCAGGACATTTTGTCGACGATTTTTTGTCCGTGCACCTTGTTTGTCCAGTAGTTTACGCCCACACGTAAAATAAGCAACAGTGACTTGGTCCAAGCGTTATATTTTAGTCGGTATGTAAAATTATATTGACAATATGGAAATGAGAAATTGAGAGAGAAGGAAGTGTTGTTTTGGTTGCTCATTTTCTGAATGAAATGTTATTACTTTCTCCTTTTGAAATTTTGAATCATCTTTTTAAATTGTCATTGGTGAATATTTGGTTTCATTTCTATCCTTAAAATATTCGATGTACAATAAACCTTATGTATGTATAGGTACTTTTTTTATTTTTGTAATTTTTTCTTTACGAAATTATTACTTCATTTTGGAAACATTTATATTTGTAAAACCTTAATAAATATTTGTAAAACCTTTTCCAAGCGACATTAATCTCAATGAGCCGCAGTTGTGCCGACAGAAACTGCAAAAATGAATAAAACAGGGGAAAAAAACAAGAAGCACGAAATCTTTAGTTTAACCCATTTATACATCGATCTTTTAGAGTCAAATATACGTCAAATTTTGAGCGTTTAATTGCGCGTACACCTCGCTGCAGCACAATAAAAGGACAAAATGTAAAAGAAAAAATTAAAGTGCTTTGGAAATCATTAAATTTGACACGGAACCACCAATATTTAGAGCACACATTATTTTATTATTCTCATTTGATAAATTGATACATATTTTTTCCCATCAATTTAAATGAGAAAAATCAATGCAGGCAAACATTTCAAAATAATGAGTTAAAAAACGCTGACTATGCGAGTATAAATATTAAAGCATAACAGAGCGGAGCGGCGTGCTGCCAGCGCGAGAGACTCACTGGCGCCTACAAACCTAAGTGGATACTTCACGCATTGCACAATGCTTGAAGTATCCACTTAAGTTTGTAGGCGCCAATGCGCGTTCCGCGCTGGCCGCCCGCCCGCCGTGCGGCGGCGCCTGAAGCAACTATTTCACAGCAGAGGTGTTGCACAACAGTATTATACGAAATTGAACGTATTAAGAACGACAGGCATCCTTCAAAAGTACAGATCTTTCCTCGCAAAATAAATCAAGATACTTATCGTACACAGGAAAAATCTCAGAGCCTTTAGCTGAGGCAAATATAGAGGTTTATCCGGTTCAGGTATTACAAGATGGGAATTTCTTGAAAGATAATTAAGTCCTGTTACACCAAAGAGGTGTAGAGAGTTTTAGTGAATCTTGTCTCATGGAATTGATGCTCCCCCATTTTTGCCAAAACTCTCAACTATATATTATTCTCCGTTGGACCAAACAGACAAAACAAACAAACAAGCAAACCCTCATTCTTCCAAGACATACATTTTCATTCAAAAACGTCGTGAACGATGGTCGTTTCTCGTTTGTATTTACATGTGGGCCAATTAACTTTGGGTCTCAACTGGCACGTGGACCAAAACTCCCGTGCCGAAAAAAGGCGTGGACGTAAATTACTGGAAAAAACAGGTGTACGGACAAAAAATCGTTGACGAAATGTCCTATAGCCCCACAGGTGCTTCCCCACCTGATATCTAAGCAACCCAACCCTCGGGGTTGCCCTCCCTGGCATCCATGAAGCCCGACCCGCAAGGACTGCCCCATCTGCCCAGGACATCGAAGCAACCCAACCCTCAGGGTGTCCCCCCTCGCATCGAAGAAGCCCAACCCCCAGGGGCTGCCCCACCTGACCTCCAAGCGACTCAACCATCGGAGCGATTTTACGTGACCTTTCGATTTTTTTCGATTGCTGTCTCTTGTTGGCAGATAGACGACATCTTCAACAACACGTTTATGCAGCTACCGCAAAACTGTGAAAAATCGAGATGTGCACTTCTGCACTTTCATCATTGATATGGATCGCATTTAGCAAAAAGGAACCAGCGCGATTACAGTGTTTTCAAAATTTAGCCACTTCTACTTTTCTTTTGATTATACTGAATATTGTACGATACTAAAATTCATACACTTATTTTCCTTAAAAATCAATAATTTTTTGGTAGAAAGCTAAAACATTTTGCTATTCTGGGAGACTTTTTTGGATACCAATGAAGAAGCAACATTTTTAGAGCTCGCGCATCGTATGTTGAGACAAATGTCAAAGGATTGTTTATGTCACCATTCACCAGTGGTGCCACCTGACTACATGTATTAACCTGTTGAGCGGTGCGAATTCGGAGCTAATCGGAGATTGACGTTTGTCTCAACATACGATGAGCGAGCTCTACAACACTGTAATCGTTCTGGTTCCATTTGGCTAAATGCGATCCATATACGCCATTCGTTTCCTTTTGAAGAATGGTGCTTTTGTGGGAGAGCCAGAGATCCTCAGTGCTAGGCGGCACTTAGCAGTCAGGGTCACGAATAATTTAATGATTTTCAACTGATGGGCTAATGTCAAAAAGAGGCACCATCCTGCAATTTGAGGGGTCACATGAGTGGGATGAAAGTTTTTCTTCAGTACCTACTTCTCATAAATCTTCAATGAAACTGGAGTTCCACAAAGATTGAAAAGCTTATCATTTAATATCTGCTCTATCTCCAAATATCTGGCTTCAAAGCTAATATCAGTGAGATGAGATCTTAGCAGATATTGCACGCGATATTGCTTTCAGTGTTTATGGAGGATAACAACCACTTAAGAAAAATTGTTCATGCAGGATAGAGGTCTCTTTCTATTTGTTGCGCTACGATAAGGAACCATCTCACAAATTGCGCAGGAGGAAATTAGACAAACAATGTTGAACTACCGTCGATGCGGATCCATAACAAATGGTTGGGGGTCCTGTGCTCTGCACACACACAAGGGTATGTGTGTCAGTAAGGCAGTGATGAGGAAAGAATGTACCAAGAAGGAGCTCTTGACAACTTGCATGCTTTACGTGTTACAACAAGACAGGACTAGAGTTCTAGAATCATAACAAATTGCGCAGGAGGTAGCTAGACAAACGATGTTGAACTACCGTCGATGCGGATCCATAACAAATGGTTGGGGGTCCTGTGCTCTGCACACACACAAGTGTACGTGTGTCAGTAAGGCAGTGATGAGGAAAGAACGTACCGAGAAAGAGCTCTTGACAACTTGCATGCTTTGCGTGTTGCGATAAGACGGTGCTAGACGTAACGTAGTGTAAATTAAATGATGTCTCTTACCCTAGACTAAAGTAGATGACTGCAATGAAGTTCCCTGACACAGCAATGTGGACGAGCTGCAATTCTTGGATAAGGATGAAATAAAAAACTGCAGCGGCCTGCAGGTCAACAAGTGATTATTCTTGTGAAAGCAAAACTATCTCATAGAACGAATAGTAAAGAGAGAGAAAAATGCAAAGAGGCGCTAAACAATCACTCGAAAAAAAGAACAAAAATTCTAATAATTAATTTTTTGGGTATTAAATTATTGATTAAATCCGGTACATAAGGGTGCGGGCTTAAAATTCTACTAAAACTAACCTCGAAAAATTTGATGTTGGATGTCTTCTTTCGAGGATCACCGCTTTTCGCCACCGTTGATGTTATTATTTTGATGAGTTTTTTGAGGTTATGCCAATTTGCGGCACACTTGAAATTTTTTGAGAATTAGGGCCAATGCCAGTATTATTCTTTAACTTGTGGATAGTATAATGTTTTTTTTTTTTCAATAATTTCATAAAGAATTGATTGTGATTTGAAGTACGAGTTCAACTAATGATCAGTTGTCGTGAGTGTGCCTCTGTCATACCCTCATCTCCATCCTGTGTATTGTTAAGAATTTATCGCAACCAATGTAGAACTTTTCAACCCTTATCGTCTCAAATGCCTCACAACTATAGCTTGGTTCCACACGCAACACCTTGAATGTTTTTCCGAAGAAAATCCTAGCACTATCATCAAAATCGAGATGGCATCCGTGCCATCGCCAATGAAGCCTCCAAGAGGAATAAAATCCACCAAAGAATCGGTGAGAGAAACAAACTTTTTTTCCCTCCTACAAAACCAATGCATCTATAGTCTTAACGAGCTGCTTTTTAAAAGTCACACAGAGAAGTCATGCAGAGTCTGAAATGTACTTAATTGCCCTCTGAGGAATCATGGGATAAAACAGAGTGACTGTCGAAGGTCACTTTCTACCGTGTTAGAGGTAGAGGTGTCGTCAGCTAAGCTGACGCTTGTTTACTTTTGGTTTGCAGGCGTTTTCGCGTCATTACTATCCACATGAAAACATCTGGCTCTCTCAGAAGCAAGAACACAAGCTTAGATAAGTTTTTGAATACTTACAAACCTTGTAACACTTTATCTTTAGCCACACAGAAATTACAACCACAAAAAAGTTGCAAATTATAACTGATAAGTAGTTTTTTTCTGATACGATCCTAAGACTGATGTTTTCAATGTGGATAGTAGCGAACGCCGCTTTGTTCAGAGGCTCTAATTCGTCGCCGGCGCTTGCAAACCGAAAGTAAACAACCGTCAACTTAGCTGACGACACCTCTAGTTGAATGTTCTTGAATATTGGACCTAAGACTCCAAGAAAAGCCATGAGTATTAGTGTTTACTTCCATCTTAAAAGCATGCAAAGAGTAGAACTCAAACTGCAATCCAGTGGCAGGTTTCTTCGGGCCAGGGTAACCAACGACAGGGACGGGTAGGTACTCTCAACATCAAAGATGAATTCTACTCTTCCTAATTGTTCAAAATCATACTTGCTCAAGTGGGCAATGCTGTTTTTGTCAGTCTGTGTTTTCATTCATTTCAGTTAATGTTTGACATTTTATCAGCATTTTAGTGCACTGATTGTGGGATTCTCAAAGTATCAATGAGATTTTACTGCTGCCAAGGTTTTCAAGAAATTGTCGTCAGAAATATCTTTAAATCTTTGCTTATGGGCTTGCTTTTATGTACTTCAAATTACTTGACCCAGTCTAGTTGCCAACTTCAGTATATTTTGATAGACCGGTTTATTGCTTAAGTATAACATCGCCTAACATTCTACCTTTTTGGCTCCTATATTTGCAGTAATATGTTTTTGAACTAATTTTGTGTTATTTCTTGCAGAGTGGGCATTTAATGTCCATTATCCGAACATTATCTGTGAGTGAATCCAATGAACAACGTGATCGGGAAAAAGCAAAATTGGAGAAAGAGTATGCCAAAAGTGATCAACAACTAGATGAGCTAATCCAGAAACACCATGAAGAATTATCTCAAGTCATGCAGGTAACAAGACTTTTTCTGAGCCCCCATGATGTAGAATCCCACATCATCATGCTGCCGCTAAACATATGTCAAGGGATGTTCAGATGTGAATTACTTATATGCAGAATTGAATATGTATTTATCCAGCAGTAGCATATTATTTTGATTTGAGTCATCACGACATCCATTATAAACTTACACAATTAAATATGTCTCTACAATTCTAGTTTCTCTAATTCAAGACTTAATAATCATTGTTTCGTTTTTAAGAGAAGCTCTTAAATAAGTAACAGTTTTTATTGGCTGGTATGAAATTGCATAAAATAAAACATGTGACACGGGTTGTACAAGACTGAAATGATTATTAAAATTATTAAAAAACTATTATAAAACTCACTTGCACAAAATTTATCAAAACAACCTCTTATTTATTTATTTTGTGTAAGACAGTTTTTTAATAATTTCTTAATAATTTTTAATAATTTTGATCATGAAATCGCATCTAGGTATTTACACAAGAAAAAAAGTTGAAATAATTTTTTTTAAAAAATTTGTTGCAGTTATTTGGACAGCTCTCTGCCCGAATAACCACATCCAAAGACAAGGTGCGCTCTGTCAAAGAAAACCTGCTTGCCTGTAAAACTCTACTCAGCTGTCGACGGGAAGAACTGAAAAAACTTTGGCTTGAAGGCGTGGAGTATAAACATGTCTTGCATTTATTGGATGAGATGTAAGTTTTTAATTCGGAAAATCATAATTAATTGTTGCTATTATTCTTTTTTTTTTCAACCTAATGCTCATGAAGAATACTAGAGCTGCATATTATGAATCCAATCAATCCTTTTGTTATGCTTTTTTTGAATGACCAGAAGCTTAGCTAACTGAAGGCAAGGAAACTTGGGTCTGATAAGGTGGCAGTTGTTTGCATCTAACTGTCTCTGTAAAAGACCAATTCTACATATCTGTGTACAGTATTGTTGCTGCCCGTAGTCAATCCTCCATTAGTATTGTATGATAGCAGTGTGGTTGCTTTTAGACAGAAAGGAAACAACTGCCAACTTACTTGACATGGGCTGTGTATGCAATAAATTTAAAGTCTCTCATCTATCATACATTAATGATCTAATTGTGCAGATGACTCACTTTTCATTTTATATCATTGCCAAAGCTCCAAGATTTATGGCACGAATTTGTAAATTTTTTTTCCCTTCAAATATTGATAGTAGTTTACCAAAAGGAAAGTCCAAGCACTCCTTTGCAGCTACGGAACAGGTGTTTGACCGTAGTTGGAAGGTTGGTCGGATACATATGAATCACTGATCATTAATATTTGTGGCAGGTCTAAGCGGCCAAATATTGCAGTGTAGTTCTTATGCTAGAATTTTTTTTTTGTATTTTTCAAGCATAGGTTTCTTCTGCAACTGAGAAAAATCAGGGTGCAGGTTGTTTGCAACTACGGTATGTTGTATGTAAGAGAAGAATTGCTTAATTTTTAAATAAAAAATTCTGTCAACAGAGAACAAATTAAGGATGCCCTCACCCAAGTGGGGAGTTACCTCTCAAAAAAGCACTACTTGCACGCAACAAACCTAATTGTGTCCACACTAGCCCTTGGTGAGGGTGATCTAGCAGGTGTTGAAGCTTTAAAAGAACTGAAGTCAGAACTCAACTCCAAGAAGCAGGTTTGTCAACACCATTTTTTTCTCTCAATTCTTATACACTTCATAGGTAGCTTATTTCATGACTTTTCTTTTTTTGAAAATTATTTTGCAAGAGTTTCATTTGATTTTTCCAATGTTAAAACTTTGAAGAAAACTCATTTATGCTTGCCTTTCAAATTTTAAAATCTGTTTATCAAATCATCACGTATAACTACCATGCAGATGCACCTCCCCTCTGAGTAAGTGGGAAGCTAAGCATGTTCAGGTACTAAATATTTTAGGCAAATATGTTTTATTGGCAAAGCAGGGGTCAAATTTTGGTATTAATTCAAAGAATAGTCTCTAACTTCATGAAACAAAGTAAGTAAATAATGTGAACTGAAAAGACCAGGTGTGCTTGAGAGGCATATTTTGTATTCAGATGAACTGAGGTTTTCACTCTTTTTCACCTATGATGAAATTAAGAGTTGAAAATGATAAATATTTTTAGAAAAATATGTTCATTTTTTTGAAGTGATCCTGGAATTTAAATCAAATGGAAGAATACTCAAAAGAAGAATCCGTATTAAGTGCGGGAAGCTTATGCAGATTAGCCTCCATAGCACAAATACATCCTTATATATATTAAATGATTTTTGCATTTATCCTGGACTGAAATTTAAAAATAGTCAGCAAGTATTCTCAGTACCTACCGTGAAGTCTGAATGAGGGGGGCAATACTCAAAGAAAGTAGTGCAGCATCTTTAAAGATATTCTAAATTTTAAGTGAGGAATGCAATATTTATCTAATTATTCTTTTTGTTGAAGGAGAACACTATGAATTTGATAAAAATTTATTGCGGCAGGTATTCCAGCTCTATATCATTCTTTTTGTTGAGAAAAACATCATGAATTTTAAAGTCTCAACTGCTCAAGGTTTTAAAATACCAACATGCAAAATCCGTAAAGTTAGTGATGACTGCAGTATTTCTGCCTTTGTTGGTCTGAATACAATTTTCTCATTGTGATTCTTTTTTTCAGAAACTGATTGATACGCTCTTTGATGAGCTGAGCAAATACATTTACATTGACTCCACTCATGAAATCGTCCAACTTAGACGTCAAGGGTCCGGTAGAGATTTTGCAGCAGCATCCCAGCAAAAAATATCATTACTGAAGCAGTCACGGGCAAAGAAAGCTCTCGAGTCATCTTATGCTGACAGCAGGTAAATACAACAGGAAATAGGTGGAATGAAGTAAGTTTAGAAATAATAAACCAAGTCCAGAGGTTACAGATCTTAATGGACCAGTAGACAGGGTACGGATTTCAGAATTCTTGTACATGTTTCTGAACCGAAATTTCACGTAAAACATGATGCGCACAACGAAAATTACCGAAATCAATTTCTTACAAAGATATTTGAGGACTTATCTGTAACAACAGCGGATGTCAAGTTCTCTTATTGTGAGAAAATTGCGTTTGAAGTTTTTGAAGCTTTGCACTTTTCCGCCTGTAGAACCGAGAGGATTCTTATGAAGATTTTCATCAAGAGCAACTCTTCCGGTAAAAAACACACGTTTAACGATATATGTAAGTGAAAAATTGAAGGAGTAACAGCGTTTTGAAGAAAATGTGACATCCGCTATTTTTACTGCAAACACTTTTTTATGCATGAAACAAAGTTTTCAGGAAGGGTAAGGCTGGTGAGACGATTGAAATGAACCAAAAGTAAGTCAATGCTGAGTCGTTTAACAAAATTGAACAAGAAACTAAACCGTTTGTAACTTTTACAACCAAAACAAGAACAAGTTCTAAAATCAGGTAAAAATTCAACAATTCTGGCGAGACGCTCCCGATACGTATAATTTGAGTGTCAGCTACAGCCCATGGCCGGTGGGCGGGCAGTTAGTGCAAGTGGGTTCGAATCTCCACAGTGTCCTGCCGCGCCGGCCGGGAAAAACAGGAATTCTCACATCCGCTGTTTTTACAAATAACATGTTTTCAGTCATGTTTTCTCATCGAAAAATTGTGCCGGAAGTCTGAAACTTTGCACAGGCATTTTTGGAGGCTCTAGATTTCGAAAAAAGCGTTTGCCCTAAAAATGGCGGATGTCAGCGACCGCCATTGTTACATATATGTCCTCATTTAATGATTTTTGATGCGTGAATTCAAACCACCTGCTCATAAAAACTCAATGCTCTATGTGATTCACATAAACGTTATCATGACAGTCTCTGCGACATAAAAATCTGGCAACCTCAAAATTGACGCTTTGGCTCAGCTATAGCAAATTGCTCATAGTTTGAACAACCCATGGTGGGAAATGAACATTGCTCGATCGAGGAGCTTGCTGAAACTGTTGTAGTGCGCGATTAGACTCGCATAGAGCCTAGAGTTTCTTGTGAGCGGGCAGTTCAAATTCCTCGTACCCAATGTGAAATAAAAACGTTAATATCTTCGTTAGGAGTTGGTTTCAGTAATTTTCATTGCACAAGTAGTCTTCTACATGAAATTCTGGTTTAGAAACATGTATCAGAATGCTTAAATTTGTACCTTGTCTAGTGGTCCATTTGCCTGATCAATGCTGATTCGTCTTTGTGAAGCTGGTTTTCCATCACACGCATTTATTACCTTCGTTTATGAATGCAACCTCTTGATATCTCATTTTTTTTAGTAAATGTATAGAATTTTTTTTGAGCAAAATTTTAAAAAGTATCAGAACAAAGATAAATTACGTTCATGCCATAGTATGCTGACATGCCTAGTCAAAAGTCAATATACCGTGGTCAGTTTGAAATTTTAATTGAGTGTTTTGGACTTTGTTTCAGTCGGGTAGAGGATAAAAATTTCCTAACTCAGCGAGTGACGGAGGATATAAGTCAGGATGTGGAGGAAGACTCTGCCCATTTTGTTGCAGTACTACTCGAATGTCTTGCAATACTCAACAAATTACCAGATACTGTAGAGGTGAGATGAAGTTCTTGTCAAATTATCACTATTTAGCGGGGCATCAGGTTTCTTCATTTTTAGCTGAAAAGTATTGCAAGAATAAATTTACTCCCTGATTCATAAAATCTCGCCGTAATTGTACAAATTTATATTCTAAAATAGCTTACGCTGAAAATGGTGTGAGTATTCAATGGAATGTATTTAAGTCAAGATGCTCTTGGACCATTTCTCATTCGTGAGTTTGTGACTGTACTAAGAAGAAAGGATTTTTGCTATCGGAATTAAAATTTGCAGTGCCTAGAGCTATTTTTGTTCTATTGAATAGAACAACTAAATTTTGGAATTTTGACGGAAAATTCTGGCCAGTATCATGAAGAATGAGTGAAGAGTGGTTCAATGGCTCTTTCTTACTTCTTACTTCAGTCAGAGCAAAGACGAGAGACGCTCTTAAAGAAAAGTAAGTGAAAAATGACAATGAGTGCAAAAGCAAAGTCTTGAATTTCTTTTTACCTCACAATCAGCAAAAATTGTGCACTTTGGAGATTCCTGTCTCTTGAAGTATACTAAGAAAAACACATTATCTGTTATAGACAAGTCATTCTGATCTGAAACTACAGGCAAAAATCATTCATGTAGAAAATTTCCCATTAAAATCAGATTTTTTCACCAAACCTGACTAAAATCTCTTTTGAAAATTTTAGCTCAGCTGCTGAAGGTCTTGAAAGTCTTCCTACAGACTTTTCACACCTGTCAAAAATGACAAATCCCAGGTCGTCCAGGTGAATGCTTTTGAAAGAATAGAATAATGTATGAACAGGCTTATTATTTGCTATGATGAGTTTGTATCTATCTGATGAGCATTTCTGTTTTCATTTTTAACTTTCATCAATTCCGCTGTTAAGTTTACATTCAATGGGTCAGTTGTGCTGGTCACAAAATCGTGTTTTGATGCTTGATTCTTATAGATTTGCAAAAATTAATAAGATCTGTCTAAACTGCAACTTTCTACGTTCAATATTAGCGGAGATATCGCTCTTTGAGAAGTCGAGTTTTTGACGTAATGCACCCCAATAGTGACACCCTTGGTTCCTTCGTCTTTTGTTCGATCAGTGATGCAGAGGGTGCAACGCGAAACTTCAATGACATTAAACGTAAAGAAACTAAAAAAACAGACGGATTCTCACTTTAAAGATTTTCTCATCATGAGATAATGCACTCGCCGTGAAGAGATTGGGTGGTCAGTCAGTTCCCCTCAGTTTGTTTACTTTTAAAAGCGTTGAAGTTTCACATTGCACCCTCTGTATGACTGATTGAGCAAAAGAAGAAGAAACCAAGGGTGTCACTGCCGCGGTGAATGACGTCAAAAACCTGACTTTTCAAAGGGCAATATCTCAGTTAATTCTGAACGTAGAGAGTTACGGTGTTTCGCTAATCCATAAGAAACAAGCATCAAAACATGATTCTGTGACCAGCGCAACTGACCTATTTAATTGAAAGAACCTCTAGAGCCGCAGAATCCAAATCAAGTGAACTGACTTTCAGAGCTCACAATATTTTAGCTTTTGTCTGTTGTTTGGGAATTGAATTTTCCTGTCTTGTCCATCGCAATGTTTTGATTCCTTAAATTTTTTTCCTTATAATCAGAGATTGAAAATGAAGATGCAAGCTGAACTATTTTTGCTGGTTGGTCGCACAACAGAACAAATTCTGCCAACAATTGACTCCATGACTCCTCAGTTCGCTCTTGTGGAGTTGTTGCAAACTCTCATAGAGCAGTTCAGACGTGTCGTGAGTGCCCACCAAACAGTATTAACCGTAATGGAACGCACGGCTCGATTACATAACTGCTTTCTCAATGTTTACGACTTTAATGATATTTGGTCACGAATCCAATCTGTGGTAAGTTCCATTAACTTGGTAAAAAAGCACTCATTGATTTTTTTAGTGCATGTTTTTGTTTCAATTTAAGTTTCATCACTTTGATCTTGAATATCCTACCTTTAAGAAAATGAAAAAATGAATTAGCCTTTGACCACCAGCGGACTGATTATTGAAATTGATAGACAAAGCTATAGACAAAGAAGACATCGGGGGTATGGAGCGATCCTATCGGTTGAAATGTGTGGTTCTTATAGACTAAGGGAGAAAATGATACACTAACTGTCGGGTTTCTCGTGGGTTGCCGTTAGTTAGTCTATTCCTACTGCCTTTGTCCATTGTAACCACCAGCTTCCACCAATAGGTTCCCTCCATATCGCTTTTGTCATCTTTGTCTATAGCTTTGTCTATCAATTTCAATAATCAGCCCGCAGGAAGGAAATAACTGATCTTTCTCGTAACATCACATTTATCTTGTTGGTCCCCAAATTTTTGCCCCAGGCAACTATTTTTTTTACCTCAAGTGTGGGAAACCGTGATAGAGCCACAATTACTGTTCTCTTGCTCTTTTAAGAACGCTTCTTTAAAGTTAGTCCTGATCTTTCCATAATGACACTTGAATGGTACAATTCTGTACAAAGGGGTCTAACTCTGTGCGGTTATGTGTTGCCATTATAGTAAAAAATCCTTCACTTCAGGCTTGCCATGGTAGCCAACACCAGTGCCAACACTTTTTAAAAGATGTTATTTTAAACTTCAAAGTTGTTTATAGGCAGAGTTGGGAAAAAATTATTCGGAAATTATTTGGTCAATCAGCAATGGCTGATCAGTCATCAATCGGACGAATAATTTGACGATCGATCTGTCTTATCAGGTAGATAATCCTGAGGACCAAGTGTCTAGTCAGAGTTGCCGCACTAATTTCAGTAATTACTGAATTATTTGTACGCAACTCTGTTTATGGGTGTCTCTTGATCTTTTAAAATGCTTTCATACAACCTCAAGCGTTGCAAATTTTTGATTTCACTTCTGAACATTTTCCATTTGGAACTCTCGTTTCATCTTTCTCAATCTTTAATATTGTTTCTGTTTTTATTAATGAGAGTATCCTATTTTTTCAGTTGCAGTCCCTTTTGTCAGATTACTTGGACATACAGAACACAAGCTCAGAGAATCAACCGGCCCCAAACTCTTTCTCTGAACAAGCATTAGATATATCCTCCTACTTTACGAAGAGAAAACCTCAGCGCAAAGAGAAGCCCACCTTATTTAAGTTTGACTTTGCCTCGACTTTACCAAAAATAAATAGTTTTATCCCGGATCAGCCCAGCAGCGAGTTCAAGATTAAGCTGACGGGAGATCCAAACCACCGTGAAAAAGTGTTGATATGCTCACCAGATCCACAAAATATCACGGTTAGATTTGAAACATGTTTGATATCTTTTTTTGTCTAAAAAAAAAAAATTCTGATGAAGTTTTATTAATAGTTTTTCAATTCCGAAGGGCAGGAGCTTGCTTTAAATAAATCAATATTATTTATTAATGGGACTTTCATTCGATATTTTGGGAGCTATTTACTTTTGAACATTACGCACAGCCAACTGATTCACATGTCTACGCTTGATGATGTTGTTGTTAATGAGTATATGATCACTTTTGCATGGCGTCAACATATTTATCTACAAAAGAAAAGTTAACGACTGCTAACTCACCTTTTGTCAGCTCTGAAGAGATGTATCCTGAAGCCTGCCGAAAATGTAGGAAATATTACTTGGGTATTTTCATGGGTTTAAAGCCACATTTTCTCCAGCCTCAATGCAGGAATAGCAGGTTTTTAGTTCTTTTAAAAACATATTTGTTAATGTTGATCATACAGTGCGTCATCGCATATCGGTGGAATTCTTAGTCAGCAGTATAGGAATTTAAATGTTTCCAGAAGCTCTTCACGGCTAGCTTTATAAGTAGCAATTTAATCAGAATCTACCGCTGCAAAGTCTGTTATGTAGTCTTTGATACTTAGGTTTGTTTTTCCTCATCTCTAAAAGGTATGCATGTATGCAAATTCTTGACAGGATAGTCACAAAAAGGCATGCTCGCATGCAACTAGTCCATTTGCGGCCTTTGGATTATTTGCAAATAAAATTAGCTCAAAACATTGGGTGGGAGGGGGGGGGGAATAGTAAATTCCTCTCATTTAGAAACATTCATTGTCCCCCTGAAAGATCGGGGTAAATCGAGTGAAATTTATGATAAAAATGTGTTTGTATTTTCCAGGTCATCTTTATTCCACTAATGATTTTTATTGAAGAAATTGAACAGACAGTTAGTGCACCCTGTTCTTTGAATGTTTTCCTTTCAAACTACATTAAAGGTGGTTTTCTGCGTCATCATCATAACAAAGTGGTGAATGCTATTGATGTGGCCACCAAATGCTCCGATGCTTGGCGCTCCATTACTCCTCCAGAGCTGGCAGCACAGTTAAATGTGTCTCGTCCACTTTTATTAGTAAGTTGCAAAGTTTTACTGGTTCAATCAGGTGAATGTATCAAATAACTATTACACAACTGCAGCACATGATGGAATGGTGTTCATCTTCAGAGTTTGCACCAAAATTCCCTTGACTTGTGTCACAAATACCAACTTCTAATGGGAATGTTGAATGGTTCTGAAATAAAGTCCAAAGGTTAAACTGTCAAAAATAAAATAAAATAAATGAAATTTCCTCTTTCCGATAACAAAGTGACTCATCTTGCGTTCGCATTTGCCATGTTTCAAGCCAAGGAATGAACATATAGGCTTTAGGAAATTGCTTGCATGACTATAAATGTTCGGTATACACCAATCATTGAATATCAGGGTTTACTTGATGTTGTAGGAAATTTTCAAAAGGGGTTCGAAATTGTACCAAAATTCCCTTGACTTATGTCACAAATACCAACTTCTAAAGGGAATGTTGAATGGCAAGCTGAGCTCTTTGGTTTAGGTTTACAAGCAGACAAGAGTCAATTATGCCACCCATACTGTGTGAGACTTGGCGAATATTCTGCGTTCTCTGAGTAAAACATGGTGAATGCCGCATAATTATTGCCGCTCATATTGTTTTTTTGTAAATCTGTAACATGATTGATTTATCTTCTTTTTTCTTATATCCTTACCCAACCGATCCTCTTATATTTACGTTCCTGAAACTCTAGCAGTAATGGGTCATCAAGCCTTGACTGTCTCTTCATTTTTTTTTTTCCTCTTCTTTTTCTTCTGGATTAATGCTGTAAGTAATATTTTTTTTTTAAAATGAAAGTTTATCTGTTCCTGCTTGTGTTTAACCACATTAATTTATTTGTTGTTACATTCTGTTACATCAGCTTTTGCACGCTAGTTTATTTTGCTCATGCTTTTGTTTTTTTTTTACAGAGCACTGTTAAGGTAGAACAAAGCATATCCGAGATCAAGTCTTTGATGCAAAGTATTCCCCACCATGCTCAGAACTTCTTGTCAATGATCATAAATATCCTCAAGAGCTACCGGGAAATCTGTCAAGTTGCGTATCGCGGTATTGTTCAGCCGGAGTCAGAAGATAAAAGCATATACTCTGTCACGTGGCTCAAAGATGAAGATATTACTCGTTTACTCAAGTAAGTTCGATTTTTTAAAAAAAATTTGCAGCTAAAGAAGTTTGAGAATTTATTTATTTATTGGTTTTCCCCCTCATGTCAATAGCTAAATGCATGAATTGCGCATATCAGTCGCAATGTTAAAATATCATCTTCAATTATGTTTTATTTATTCTGAGAAAATGCAATCAAAATGTTTCTGTGCAATTCTGTGTGATTTTTTAGAATGAATAAGAAAGAATTCACAGAAAATTTCAAAGGAAACCTTTTTATTAAAAAAAAAACATTGATGGATACTTACAACATCGCAATCTGATACACGCATTTCATTTTTCAACTTTAGCCACAGATGTGTTGTGCAAACTTTAAGCTTCTGGCATGTATTTTCCATTTTTAATCATCAGTTCAAATCAACCCAGTAGTTATTCCAATATCTAATTTCTGGAAACTTGAATTTCAAAAGTAATAAACCTCTAAGACATCAAAACAATTATAGCTTTATTTTTCTCATTATGATATGCGTAATGATTTCCTCGCTGAAGCTCTTGGAACTCATTTTCCTATATTTTCTCAACAAAATCGAATGCACACAAATGAAAAGCATTCTTTGAAATCCCTTTCCTAAGCTGTTTCAATAGTGGTAAAAATTGAGTCATACGTTTTCATAATTCAGCCATCAACAAACAGATACATTTGAATTTATAGAATCTCAGCATCGTTTCAATATATCAATATATTCGTTACAATATATCTATATATTCTTGTTGCAAGGAGAAACCTGCAAAAGTTTTCATTACTCTATAATTCTATGTTTTCCGGACTAAAGATCATAATTATGTACACTTCAAGCGAACTTCCGCTCGTAAATAGTACTGTTACGTACTAGGTAATTGTTGTGACTGAACTTTGCCTAGTGTTTCTTCTGGTTACAAGTAAACACATAGTAATAAAGTTTTGGACAGAAATTGTGCCATCTTATTCTTATTCTGAAATTAATTTCTCTTGTCCATTTTGCAATATTAAACTGAAATAGCATTTCTTTGTCTAGAAAATGACAAATTTTTCAAGGTACAATTTGAATATACTTTACTATTGAGATATGACGAACTTGTTTCTTCCCTGCAGATCTTTGCCAAACTGGGAACAGTTGGAGGGCTGGTGGCAAAGTGTGAGCGAGAGGCATGGGCATATCACTCGTGAGGAATCCATTGTCGAAGGGCCGGAGGATGTGCAGCTGCGTAATGAGCGAGAAGCTGAAATCTTAGCAAGCAACCTTGGGGAAAGTGGTATTTCTCAGCATGAAATCATCTCGGATGTGAACCAGCTCAAGTGTCTTGCTCAAATGCAAGAAAGTATGGTGAGATAACTTGTTACTTTTTTTCGTCTCTATGTAATTCATCATACCCCTCGTGGAAAACATGAGTAATCAACAGAGTTTGTGGCAGCATTGAAAACATAAAAAGTCAGAGACTTTATGGTGACCTGAAAAAGACGGGGAATTCATAGGGAGAGTCAGGGAATTTTGGAATCAGTGCATTGGCTCAGCAACTTCAGCCTGAGTGCTTTCCGCAGAGTTGCCACGGTCAGGGAATACCGGGAAATGTCAGGGTATTTTAAAAAGTCCGGGAACACCTAAATATATCAGGGAATATGACAAAAGCGTCAGAGGAAAATTGTTGAGTCATCTTCACTTGCTTTCTAGGATGGGTTTAACGTTTTGAGTAACACATTTTGCTCAGAAACTATTTCAAATTACTTCTTTTTAATCATCTGGCATCTTTAATTATCAGGGAAATTCACCAAAATATGTTTGGGAAATCAGGGAAACATCAGGAAATTTCATTTTCCTACTTACAAGTTAACCCTGTTTCAAGTGGCTTTATACATAATTTGAATCTGTAAAAGTGGAAATTTTACAACAATTCATAAAAGTCAGCAAAATTAAAAGAAAATCCCTCGAAGTCTAAATGGAAGTTTTGTTCAAAGGTCTGGGAAAGTCAGGTAATTAGGAAACTTCCGAATCAGAGAAAAGCAAAAACAGATAGGGAATTGAAAAATGAAAAAATCATGGAAAGTCAGGTGAAATTTTTGTTTTTTTTTTCTACTAAAAACTCATACAAGTGCTTATTTAAACCCTTTTACTATTTAGGTGAAGAACTTTTGGGCACCCATGCTCATTTAGGAGGCGTTCAAGTGCTAGGCCTTGTCCACATGGGCGCGGTTTGCAGAACTTATGAGCAAATCAGTTCAACGAACTGGAGTTTTACGGAATAAGTTATAGCTGAATCATAAGTTCCGAGAACAAGTTTGCCTATAAGTTCTGTGAACTGCGCTCCTATGAACAAGGCCTTACTCAATGCTCTTGAAGTGCCTTCATAGCAGAAACCGTTAATCCCTACCTGTTGAATGTTGGTCATGTATATACAAATCGAATGAAACCAAAAAAAAATTAAACTGATACGACGACGTAACAGTGATCTTGAAGAATAAAAAAAAGAGGAGTAAGAAATTACCCCTAAAGAAGAAGAAAGAAAAATCAATTCTGAGTGTTGGATTGTTTATAATTTTTCGATTCTAATTAAACTTGCAAAAATGATTGCTTTAACTTAAAGCTCTGAAGCATTGAAATGTATTTTCAACTTTTTTCTGCACCTATTCACTACTTACTAAAATTTATGTGAAGATAATTCTGCTTTGGGAATGATAATTTTAATATCTATATATCTTAACCCTGTTCTTTTTTATTATTTGCAGGAGTGGTTTGCTACACAGATCATCAAATTTGTAAATACTCAATCTCACAAACCGAGTTCTTCGAACCATAATCGGAAAAATGAACCTATCCCAACAATAGAAATAAATAGTATGGTGCCAAAGATATCCTCTCAATTGATTTCATCCTTAGAGCAACTTGCCAATGATTTTCAAGAACTTGCCAATACATGCCTCCTGGTGCTTCATTTGGAGGTTTGTACTTGAAAAAATGCATTATCTTTGTCAATATTAAGCCAATAACATCGGAAATGATTCGACCCTGCTGCATCTAAGATTGAATTTACAACTATCCATAACTTTAAACGTTTACAGTACTTATGCATAATCGATAATCCTAAACTTATTTCCAGATGTTGATAATCGAAATACTAGACTTTTTTGTAGGTTCTTTAAAAAAACAAGAAGAAAATTCAGTTACAATAATCCCATACTACTGATTTATGGCTGTCAAAATCATGAAAATTGCAAAATGAGCGAAAATGAGTTATGAGGTTATTATATGTTCAGTGGCACTGTAAGGCAAATCGCAAGACAAGAATTGATGCAAAGCAATTGAATGGACGTATGCGAAAACGTCCGATGTCCAAGACAGTGTTTCAGAATTTGAGTGGACAATTTCATTGTAACTTAACGACACAAGATGGTTTAGGACGTTAGAAATGTAGAACAATTTTATAAATAATCCCTTAAGTGTAATTAAACATTTACAAAAGAGTTAGATTCTATTCATCAGTGTTGTGGGACAAAAGAAACCCACTGCAATTATGAAACCCTGTATTGGACAACGGACGTTTTCGCATACGTCGATTCAATTAATAACCACACGATATAAGTTTTAGGTCGGTCTTACTACTTAAATAAACATTAATAAAAGTGCTCACTGTCCTAGAATTATTGATGCATCGATGGCCAAAGTGCGAAAGCACGTATCTCCCTTTGCGACTTTGCAGACTTCCTGTCATACTTGATTTTTTCTTTGGAGAACTAGTCAATTTAATTTATTTAAAAATTGCTTGATTATTCTTCACTATTATCAGAATATTCTGTGAGAATTTCAAGCTGTGTAATTGACTTGTTTCTCTCGAAAAAAGTACAATAGGAGCAGAGGTTTTGAAACACTGCAATGGAGATATGCGGTATTTTCACTTTAGCCATTGATATCGTGAACATGGATGGCAAGTTGACCAATGGCTCTGATTTACTGGTTTAGAGCACTGCCGTTCTAAGCAAGAATGCTATAAGTCCATCAAGATTTTCCCTCATTTTTTTGGAATTTAACTCTTTATAAAATAGAAATAGTAGTAAATAAAACAAGGAATTAGCGGAAACAAGGCTAAAATACATAAAATTAAACAGGACGTTTCGGTGTCTTACAACACCATTATCAACCGCTAAAAACAGTAAAGTACAAAATTAAAGAAGAAATTAAAATCATATGAAACCAGCACGACACTACATGGTGATGGTATCAGCATGTAACGCTGTTTGGGGCTGCCTGTGTATGTCTTTGTTTTACTAAAATAAAAACTGTTTTACCCATGCACCTCCAATTTTCAGGTCAAGTCCTTGATAATATTTGCAAAAGAATTCTGTAAAAACTTCCCAAGGTACACAAGTTTTTCTGCTATGATGCATTTTTTCCAAAAAATGTAAAATGGCGTTTTTGCATTGCACAGCACAGGTGACGTAGTGCGGTGCAGATCGCTCTTATCTTATGCTTTTTCAACTGAATTTTCTTGAATATTCAATTTTTTCCATTCTACAGGTTCGTGTCCAGTGCTTCCATTACCTGCTTCCCCAAGGTGCTATGAAACACGTTTCTAATTCTCATGATATTGATCCTCGTGTCTCTAACTTCAGCCGTGTCTTGTCTTCTATTGATGAAGCAATGACTGTCAGTCTCCAGCCGAGAAAATGCAAGGTAAAATTTTCAGCCTTATATCATCACTTTTCTTTTTCATTGTTTCCATCCTATTTAATTTTTTTGATCCAATAATCATTCGATTGCATTCCATTTTCTCAAGTTTACTAGCGAGAAGAGTACAAGTGCAGAAACCTCTGGAACTTCAAGAACTTAAAACTTTAAGTCTGGAACTTAAGGAACTTCTGAAGAACTTAACCAAAACCAAAACACGATCTTTTTTTTGCTTTGGTCTCTTTGCTGGGATCAAAACAGTAGGAAAAAAGACACAAAGGCCTACATCTTTTGGAACTGTACCTCGTGTGCCTGTAGGGCGAAAAAAGCAGGCACGATAACTTTGACACAGTATAACTCCAGAGGTATACATTTTCCAGCTTATGTTATGATCAAATAACAACATTAAAATAGGAAAAAAAAGAAACTATGAAAAATGGCCTGTTTTGACTTTCAGACCCACGTTTGTGGCAATTTCACTCATCTCAAAAAACGGAGGGCAGCATCCCACGGAAGAATCCAGATGATTGGTTTAAGCCAATCATCCTCGTTAAATATAGACTTTTTTTAGTAAAAAAACCTAGGAGTTTCGGAAATCGAGGGTGGAGCTAATTGCGACTCTTAAGCACATCCCTCCTTCAGCATAACTGAACATCATTAGGGATGGCCTCTTAGTTTGATTTTATAGGAAACAAATGAAATAGTTGATGATGGATTGTGAAAAACTGTCCCTTGGCATCTTTTGCTTTTTCACCCCACAAATCAAACTATACTATCGTTGGTGACATCAATTCCTTAAATATACCTCGAAACCCTCTCTTACAATTGATTTTGAAGGCAGATGAAAATGGACTTTGATATTTCTTTTATCTTTAATTGTTGATCAACTGATGTTTCTTGTACCTCTAACTGTTATTAGAGAATTGATTTTTTTTTATTTTTTGCCGCTAATTGTTTGCTTTATCAATTTTTTTAGTACATATTTGAAGGGCTTGGTCATATGATAGCAAAACTCTTGATCAGCTCAGCTCAAATGATGGATAAGATTGACAAGCCGTTGGTGCATAGGATGTGTCGCAACATTTACTCCCTCCAGCAGACACTAACCAACATAACAATGACCCGAGAAATCGCTCTAGACCATGCAAGGCATTACTTTGAATTATTCTTCCTGTCTCCGGAGGTTTGTAAACTTAATTATGTACTATTAAACCCTCAAAAATCATTGCCTATCTCTTTATCATGGACAACCAAAGAAAATCTGATATACTCTTATATTTTATTTGCAACACCTGAATACGCATGCAAGATAATGGTGAGGGAATAGGCTCTAAGGAATAACTACAATGACGGGAAAAAAGTTGCATTGCTCTAAAGGTAGCAACTTTCTCTGCGTCAATTTTTAGCTTTATTCTGAAAATGACTTCCACTTTTCCCCAGCAGTTTCTTGTTTGGTTTTTCAAAAGTTTTGGAAAAGCAAGTTTTTGAAAATTTGATTTTTAGTAGGTACTGGAAAAAAAACTGTGCTCATTTTTGGCTTCATCAGGAAGAAACAGACGGTATCAACTTCTTCAACCTCTTGCCAAAAATTTCTCAACAATTACTTGCTGTATCCTCTGCAAATGCTTACATCAAAGTTGTTATATGTATGCAAAAATACTTTAAAATAAGGGGCATTTACAGTAGTTATTTTTTCATTCACTAAGTGAATTAAAAGGCAGTATTTTTTCAGCTTTTACTTCTAATTTTTAATTTAGACCTGTAAACTGATACCTCGTTCAATTTGATTCCAGGATGTTTTGAATCAAATTGTGGAAAAAGGCCCCGAATTTTCTGAATTAGAATACATGAATGCTTTACAGCTCATTCATCGGAGTCAGAGCGACAGACCAGATGCCACCATTCAAGGACATCTTCAAAAATTAACAGATATTCTACAAAATACTCCAGTACGGAGACTCTTATCATCAACTTCTTCTCTCTCTGGTGTTGCTGTTTGATGAAGAGCATATTTTATGTCTCTGGCTGAGTTGAAAAGTAGATCTCTTTAAATCTAAAGAAAAACTCCAATTTTTAAGGAAAACTAAGGAAAACTTTCCTTTATCTGTAGGCTCAAGTTATTTTTCAAGCAATATGGTTAGCTTTTATTTTTTGCGGAGAATCTCCAACATATCTAAACAATTCCAACTGCCATGGAATTGCAGAAGCAGTTCTCTATTCGCTTTAACTCCATGATTGGATCTGTTCCACGTCTTTTCTTTTTCTGTTTTTTTTTCTTTCTTTTTTAAATTTTAATATAAAACATGGCTTCCTGTTTAAATACTCTCTGTAAACTTGATCAAAGTAACGTTGAAAATCAGGAAGTAAGAAAGTCGTAGAAAAATGGAATTATCAAATATTTTGAACATGAAATTAGTTTTTCAACTATATCCTTAAAATTGAGTCTTATAGAGAAGTAAAACTTTAGGCCTCAAAATTTGGTTCAAACCGGATGTATTTGTGATAAAATCGGTCCCAATAATCCATATTAATGTTCAAGAATAATTATGATTCTGTAATCATCGGAATGTTACTTTACTCTCATAATCTTTTTAACTAATTTTAAGATGGTCTTTTACTCCTCTTATGTCCTTACAATCAATATAACTGTGATATACTAATGAGTTTCTTTAACAAGTGTAGTTGTTATAAAAATTAGTTTGTACATCATTTTGTAATACATTATTTGTATGCATTCAGTTTGTAAATGATTTGAACCCCTGTTCTTTGTCTACTAGCTTAGATACACAGAAGTCTGCAAATCTGAGACTAAAAGTTGGCCGTAACTTCTTTCTTAATACTGCATTTATAGTTAGAATCCATTATGTGAGCATACACCCTGACAACTGTGCCAATGTATTTCAGCCGAAGGTAACTTTATTTAGAGAAGGAGACTATCCTATTCTGCCGAATCAAGGAAAAATGCCGCATAGGTATTCCATTTTTTGCCTGATTTCCACCATAAAATCTTTTATTTTGAGCGAAGCTATGAATACTTTTCCTTAAACTTTTCAGATTGAATTGAGACCAGTATTCCAAAAGAGAATTCCGAATTCAGAAAGAGAAATCACAAGCTTCTCTGAAAACTTTTATTTTATCCAAGGAAACTCGGAAATGTCCAAATATTCATGCGGCCCTCCTCCTTTGCCTGGTAGTTTTCAATGCTTTCACGACCACTACACATCCTTATAGAGAGCTTGAAAGTTACTTGCCACCTCTCATTTTTCTCTTAAAAATTTTCTCAGATAAAAGTCAGTCAATCCAAGGATTTCATTTTAGCCGAATTCTAGAATGACAAGGTAGAGAGGGAGAATTCAAGAAATTTTAGAAGATGCCCTGAAAATAACCAGAGGTGCTTGTAATTACGAGACAATTCCTGTCGCACAGGGAGGTGAACAAAGCACAAAGGAACTCTTGCTATACTGAGAGGCGAGCCCAGAAGAATTTTCAAACTTTGAACGTCTTAGGAGCAATTCTGAGCTGCTTTTACAGGAAATATATTCAAACCGAAAGGACCACCAGGCAAAGTAAGAATTTAGTCCTTACAAGAAATATTTCCTAACAATTCATGCAAAATATGCTAAAATTATTTAAGAGGTTCAAAATCAACTTTTGATTTCAGGAATTACTTAGCATTTATAGTACACATTGGAATGAGTAAAGTCAAACTTCCCGCTTGCGAAGAAACCAAAATCTGAACAGGTCAAAACGGCCTTCGAGAATCAATGCCTTGCAAATAGCCAAAATTGATGATTAGTGGCAATTTGAGAGAAGACGCAGGCGTCTTCCAAGAAAATTTTCCGGTGAGACGCTTCTGAGCCCAAACTGAACTGCTCTTTTCCTTAGAACTTCATTTTTGCATTTACTGTTCTCTTCGCTTTCACGGCAAAGTTGATGGTCATTAGTTTTTATTAGGTTCCAGTCGACTCTATCTTGGAACTGTTTGGATGCTCCTCTTTCAAGGTGGAATCTGCTGGACGAAGGAGCCTTGTCCCGTCCGGCATCCGGGAGCAGAGATCTTTGTTGATGAAGTCGGGCAACTCGAAGATCCACCGCATGAGGCCCTTGGTCCACCACCACTTGGTCCCGACGCTACGGAAGATCCCTTGAATGTTGGCCTGCACCACTTGGTTGTTGCATCGGTGCATCGGGGCGCGTGTTGTCAGGACGCTCAACCCCCGGGTCGGCTGAAAACCCCAAGAATAGGTATATCAGCAGTGGGCTGATTGTTGAATTTGATAGACAAAGCTATAGAGTTGAAATTTATAGACGAAGCTATAGATAAAGAAGACACAAGGAGTATGAAGCGATCCTATTGGTTGAAATTGATGGTTCTTATAGACTAAGGAAGAAAATTATGGACTTATCATACGGCCTGTCGTGGGTTGCTGTTAGTTTGTCTATTACTTACCTCCTTTGTCCATTGCAACCACTTGCTCCCACCAAAAGGATCGCCCTCCATATCCTTTTTGTCTCCTTTGTCTATAGCTTTGTCTATCAATTTCAACAATCATCCTGCAGGTCAGTTGGACCTCGTTAAGCAGAAAGGAACCAAGCCATTTCAGCTATTGCCAAAGTTAAGCCGGCAATTTAATTTTTACAAGAGAACGTTCGTGCGGATTCTTTGGAGAATTTTAAGGAATCTGCTATATACTATGCAGAGCATTCACTGAAATTTGCACAAAAATCCACACAACTGTTTTTGTGTAAAAAATTAGGTAAATTGTCAAATTAAATTTGGCAATAGCTGATGTGACTTGGTTCTTTTCTGCTTTACAAGGTCCAGTTTGCGTAGAGCTGAAACGTGTTTTACGGTTGGGGGCCGCCTATAAATTATGTCACCCGCCCATAGGAGAGGCGGTTTAGAGGTGAGTGAAATGTAAGTGACAAAAACGGAC